TTTGGGTGGTTGTTCTTTAGTATAAACTCTGTTTAGATTTTTTATATTATCAAAGTTTATTTCGTTTGTATTTTGATTTGCTTTGAGTTCAGATTCAGATTTTTCTGATTGTTTATTTGTTTAAATTTCTTGAGAATCATTAGTTACTTCACCAGCTATAAGTCTTTCATACTCTTTATAATAATTTTTGTTATGCTTTTAGTTGATATAGATTTAAAAGTAAATAATAATTTCATTATTGTCTTTTTTAACTGCAAGTAATGTGGTTTCTTTTGCTAATCCCTACATTCAATCATACAAGTTTCTTTTATAAATAGATTTTTGATAATGGGAATAATTGTTAGAACAGTAGTAGGTTTTTGTGTTGATAAGACTTCTTTGTCATTAAAAATGTCTATCTTATATCTAAATATTGCACTTTTTCTTTTCAAAATCAATCTATTCTGATAGTAGTCTTTATACTATCTTCAGAATATTATACTAATGTAAATGCTGCAATTTTTAAATGCATTATAACACGAAAATAGTGGCAGCATATAATTCTTTTTGAGATAAACATTAGGCATGAACATAAAAAAGATACCATGTTGACAATAATAACAAAATGTATATAGCATTATTTTTTACTTCTTATATCTATAATTTACCAAATTTTTAATACTTATTCTCATCATATTTCATCAACAAGTCCTAAAACATAATAAAGCATGTGTCATACTGGTCTTCAATAAATCTATTAAATAATAGTTAATTATTTTTCTTTATTATACAAGGCATATTATAGTTAAACTTGAATTTTAATTAAGCAATCAATTTAACATTATATCATTATCTGTTTATGGTGTAATTCTTCAACACTAGGCTCAATCGTGTTTACATTAACAAATAGACACTAAGACATTTTTGTCTTAATTATATTGACAATAGATTTAGTGAAATATTTGTTAATAACCTTTATTATTTCAAAAAACAAATCTTGTTTGTTTGTAATCATAAAACTGATTCTATTATACTTTATCTTTTAATCTTGTGTTAAATCGATCAGCAAGCTTATATAGCATACCATTTGTTTTTAATTGTTGCTTGATAACTCAATTATAACTTTCAACTCTTGCTATGCTTTCAATACCTGCTGTAAAGATTCTATAAAAATAAGCCCAAGTTTATAAATAATATTTCAAATCCAGTATATATAAATAATAGTTCTTTGCTATTAGAAAATTATTAAGTAATTTGTTTTATCTTTCTTTAAATAGTAGTTTATATAAGCTATTCTGATATTTATAAAACTGCTTAATAAAATTATCCTAATTAATACCCAACTTTGCTTTTAGGTTTTTAGATAAGTTTTGTACTATATAGTAGATACAGTAGGCCGAATATATTTCAAAAAAAATAATTGGAATTGTAGTGTCAAGTGCAAGATTCCTATCAGTAAATATAACAATTGAAACTTTGTTTATAGCTTTTTTTGATATGCTCAAATATCCAAATATGTGTATCAACAGTTTCATTACTCATTAATATTTGGCAAACAAGACAAGTTTTACACTTGTTGTCAATTATTACAAAAAGTTCTAATGGCATTTGGTATTGATTAGTTTGAGCTGTGTTGTCATTAATAATAATATTATAGTATCTAAGCTAAAGATTAACCTGGCCTGGAGATATCCAAAGAAGATGAATTAGACAATTATTATTATCTAGCTTGAAGTCAATAACTCAGCATAGATCTTTTAACTTTTTTGCATCAGAGAAATAAAACTGATATGTCATTACTAATCTTAGTTGTACTTTTTGCTTTTTGAATTATGTTTGCTAAATCTTGGTCTTGAAAATTCAAATCAGAGAAACAAACCTTTAAAAAACTTTTTTATACAGTTAGTGACAAATTATCATGCTTTGCCATTATATTTACTTTGTCAAATGCTTTTTTAAATAGCGTTCAGTATTTTATTCCAAAATTTTGAATTTTAGAAAGAAGAGCATGATTATGCTGATTAATATATATTAAGATTAAAATTTGTGTTGTTTATTCTGAAATAAATAAGTTGATATACTATAAACAATTCTTTTTTTTGTTTTTGTATTTTTCTGTATACTATTTAAAGCAGCTTTAATTGTTTTTTTAGATTTTACTTCTTGCTGAATTCACAAAGTTTTTTTTATGAACTTGATCTAAACTAATTCATTCTATCTGATATTTAGTAATAGCAAAGCCATTTTTAGCTCTGTATTCATTAAAATAGCATTCTGTTTTATCCTATGTATTAAAACAAACACTGTTAGAAATATATTCTGAAGTGAATATAGATGAACCTATTAATATAAACTTGTTAGTTTCATGCAATATTTGTATATTATCAGAAGAAAACTATATATTTGTTAGAGAAATTTCAGAGGTTTAAGTTTTGGGATTTAGGCTGATTTTATAGCTATTTTTAGAAAGATGTGAAACAAGTAATAGTTATATCTTGAATAGTTGAATATAAGCAAAATAAAATTTTTACTTATATATATAGTATCTAAGATATAATTAATTTATACTCTATGATCTTGATATAATGACCAGAGTATAATTTCATATATCCATATAGGAATTGAAGAATTTAGTAATTTGAAATGATTCAATTAAAGCAGGTTTAAAAACTTTAGAAATTTATAAAGTATTCTAAGTTCTGAGAATTTAAAAATTCAGAAAATATTATGGGTTTTGAAAACTCTGAAAATCTAGAAAATATTATAAGATCTGAAACTCTGGAAATCTAGAAAATATTATAGATTTTGAATACTTTGAAAATCTAGAAATTTTTATAACATAGTAATATGCAATTTTTTATAGCTTTTTAAAAATAGCTATAATAAGTTTGAGTAGAGATTAGGTTAATTTATTATTGCTTAGGATTTTGTTTTAGTTGAAGATTTGTAGTTTAGTTAGCAAATATGTAATAAACTCAAAGGTGAAGTTTTGGTCTACTTTGGCAACATCTATTTGTATTATATTTGATACTAACAATTTTTATTATTCTTGTTATACTCACTACTTTCTGCATATATAGTGTATATATTATTGAATTCTTCTGGATCATAATTTTCAAATATAACTAAGGTATTTTCAATAAGTTTCAATCAATTATTCATTAAACTTGTTAATTATAGGACTTATAGTATTTTTTAACTAGGTTGATTATATTACTATCGACAATACTAGATGTGTTAATTACAGAAGTTTCTCTATATTGCTCTATATATAAAGTTGACAATTTATATTTGATTTGCATCATGTGATATGATATTTGTTTTATGTTTATATTTTATAATACAATTTATGATCTTATAGATCGAAGTTCTTTTTTTTAAACAATTTTTTATTTTGATATGATTTGCAAATTATTTGTTTTACAATGTAATTTTTATATTAGATTTTATTTTTAAGGAATCTACCATTTGATGCACCTTGCATTTTGTGTATCTCTTTTTTTATTACAGTAAAAATTTAAAATACTAAACAAAAAACACATATATATGCTATATTGTAGCTCAATTTATATTATCATATAACTATCTATAGCATACATAACTTGTTTATTTTATCATTCTAATTAAATTAAAAAAATAGTACTTTTAGAAAAAAAAATTAAATACGGCTTTATTATATATATTTTTTTATCTTAACTATAAAACTAAAGTTTAGTAATTTGGCTAATTGATCCAAACATATATACAAAAAAAGTATAATTTTTTAAGCAAGCATTAGCCAAATATATACAAGTTACTTTCATTATAGTAAACTCTTAATATAGTAACTATTAATAAAAGGATTATTTCACTATAATAAGAGTAACTTGTAACAGAATACTATACAGATTAATATGAATTTGAGCAAATATATTATATAAATATACAGCTGAAATGAGCTTACAAAGCTTATATTTTTTTACATAACTTACTTAACTTGCTTTAAATTATTTCTCAATATCAGCATCATCAAGCTTTTTTTTGCAACTTCTAATATTATAAACAGTTTCATAGCAATATGCACAAGTAATATTTTTAGATTTTGAACTTGCTGATAAATACTGGCTAGCCTCAATACTACTGAGAACTCGGGTTCTTTCTGTAGACAACCTTTTTGATGTTTTACAATAGGATTTTTACCACTAACTTCTGAGCTCTTTCTTTTTTGCATTTTCTTAACTTTATTCTCTTGTTCATATTTACTTTCATCTAATGAAATAATAGCATCACTATTGGTAAGAACTGTGTCAATTTCTTTTTTCTTAAAATTGTCAAGCATTGTAAGTATCTTTTTATTTAAATTTAATTTAACTGCCTTATTTATTAATGCTTTCACAAAACCAAACACCTTCACATATTGCTGTTTGGTTTCTAAACATTGTTGAGCAAATTCTTGAACTTGTTTAGAAAGTTCAGTAACTCATTAGTTACAAAAGAAACCTACTCTGTAGGAAATTTAACTGCAGAACTATTTGTATCAAAAACTAGCAATCCAATAAAATTTCATTTGCTTAAGTCTTTATTATATATTTTATTATTAAGCAAGTACTAGTTGAACATATTAATATGAAATTTTGCCATTGTTATTATATATATAATACAAAAAAAATGTCTGCAAATCCACCTCAAAATCATATTTAGTTTAGATATGCATCTATAATTACCATTCATTAAAAGAAAAATGAATTGTAGTGGTGCGACATATTTCATATGTTTAACTTCCTATACTGAGTTAATCTAATCATGAAACTCATTTAAAATAATATTTACACAAGCTTGCAGTAAATCAAAAACTTCATCAATGCAACTTATTTCATATAAAACATCCAGATTTAAATTATTTTGGGTTATTTTATTGAATCTGACTTGTGTTGTATAGTAAAGAAAACTATAGTTTATTTGCTTATGAATCTTTTCAGTTATTGTGAATGTTATACATGCACAAAGTTCCTTATCAATGTTCTGAAATATTGTGTTATATAAATTTAGTAGTGAGATTATTGACATTGATGCTTTTCATGCAATAAATTCATTATTATTTTGCCATTCCTTAAGCAATCAATAAATTATTACACAAAGATTATATAATAAAATACTTTAACCATCCAAGTCTTTTTTAAGTACTTAATTAATATCTTCAATACAGCTTGTCGATTGCATTTCGGCTGTAAAATATAAGCTTGTATAATATCTAGCTTATGAATTCTTACTTGCATATAAATATTCAAAATAACTCTTAGCAATAGGATAATCATTAATTAATTTTAAATAATTATATTTAAATATTTCAATATTAAGTTGATTATAACATTGAAAAAATTTTTTTGTAAAGTTTTGATAATCTTTATGTAATTTACTTTTTAAATATTTGGGTAAATTTTGGCTGATATGCTAAATACAATGTAAATGTTTTGTTTGTAAATATATTTAAGTGATTGCAGCATTTATCACAAGTTCTGTATCTGTGATAATTATAGAAGGACAAAGCTTAAAGTTTTTCTTTAAAACTACTAAGCTCTATATATACGATTTCAACATTTTATTATCGAGAATTGCTTGTGCAACTAGTTAAGTGTTAAAATTATTATCTACAACTACAAAAATCGAAAGCGGAAGACCATAAATATTAGTCTTCACTGTATTATTATAAACAATTACAGAACCATAACGAATATATACAGTAATTCTATTTGTTGAGGTTTTATCCATAACAGTACATAAGGGCTTGAGATACTGAATCAATTTAATATTCTACAATCTACCAAGGGTCATCATCTTTTTTTTTAATAGATCATTAAAAAGATTAGATGTATCTTTTTTTACAGGCAGACTTTCTTGTCGAATCTTATAAATTGCATTATAGAGGTCTTGTTTTACAACATGATGTTGGTACTTGCTTATAAGCATACAATACTGCTTATTGGCACTAAGGTTGCCTTCAGATGTCTAAAACCAAATATCATCTAACATTTCTTTAATTAATTTTCGAAATTAAAGTAAAAGTTTGACTGTTTGTGAATTAAGTATATAACCTTTATATTCATTAACAAATGTTATTACTATATAAATATCTTTGCCCTTTTTATTAATATTAACATGCTATAGGCAATTGACTCTATATGATAGTTTGTTTTATTGGTCATTAAGGCTAGCCACTTTATTTGACAAATAAACACCTGCATGCTTATATAAAAATGTTCTTTTAATAATATCCTCATTATTACTATATTTTTTCTTTGAACATCCTTTTCTGTATCCAAAACCTTTCCACATGCAATAATTATTAAGAAAAAGATATACATCTTGCCATGACACAAATTGCTTGCCAATACACAAATTATCTTCTTTATTGGATTCTAATCAATTTTTATCATTTTCGTCATCATCAGGCTCAAAACAATTTTTGCTATTTTTGTCTTTACTGGATTCTTCACCACTGGCTACTAATTCTTTAATACTTGAAATACATATATTAGAGTTTATATCATCACACATCTTTGTAATATAGGATAGTTTCTGTATATAATACAGTAATGTTATAGATGTTTTTAGGTTAAAAATCAAAAAAGAGCTGAAAATTCAATAAAGGTTATTTTATATGACAGAATCTGCTTACTAATTAACTATAGTCTAATATTACAGTTTAATATTAAAGCATCAGATCTTTAATTAATACTTTGACTTTCACTTAATTACACATAATTTACATAATCACAATTCTTTAGATTAGGCATAACAGCAAAACACAAAATGATCTATTTATATTAAATTTTACGAAGGTCTAATGAATTTAATCATTATTAATATAAGGGATATAAATTTATGGTGAATTCAATTGATATTTTATTCTTGGAGTAAATTTATAAAAATGTTATAAGCGATAAGGTTCACAGTTTAATTTTTGAACTTAATATTAATCAGATTTTCAAAGAATAATAATCAAAAAATCTATTCAATAATTTTTTTAATTCAATTACCTGATGATGCATAATTAGGAGCATCAAATGTACTGATGCTTCATTTAAATTTTTTTTATTTTTAATTTGAGAAATGCAATGCTATTATATATTGCTTTATTATTATATATATAAATTATATATTTTTAGCCAAT